GTAATTTTCAGTTGGTCGTGATGATTGGCATTCGCAAATCGCTGGATCTACTTTTCACCCGTCGTGAGCTCAAGATTCTCGATGACGTGATGCCAGAGTCAACGAAAAAACATGCGGATGATCTTCGTCAGCTGGAGAGCGGCGAGGTTAGCACCGTAACCCGAATACTAAGAGCTATCGTCTGTCGCAAATAACATCCGAGAAGTGATCCCGGGACTACCTGTCCCGTGGTCACAATATCACTCTGCGACTATGATAAAAAGACTCTCTATGACTCAACAACGCTAAATACATGAGTCATTTTGTAATTTTTAACAATAACAAGCCTAACCGGCCTACTGTGCTTCCAATTAGAAGCGCCAGAAGAGTAGATGTTTTTTTAAAATTTATTATATCGATGAGTTTGTTGTTAGATAGAGCCTAGAAGGCATGGATTAGGATCGACCTGTTGTGGAATGATTTCATCCGTGACAACAGGTTGAATTACATAAAGATAATAGACTACATGACAATTGAGTAAATGTGCCAAATGTCTCGTGTAAAAAAAATTTGTTAAACATTTTAAATTAAATTCTCAGGCTCATGATATCCAACATTTTATCGATAATCACGTCGACGGCGTTCGTAACACTTTATACACCCGTAAATCACCATTTTCCGCCTTTACGTTTACCCCAGTTGTTAAATACATTATTGTTTAGAACATTTATATATTACTGTTGTTTATTCGACACCAATACACACTATATCACGTATATGTTTCGTTGTATCCACATGACACACAATTACAAGATAGTGTGAAAAGACAAAAAAAAATCGGCTTTTGACGTAATACACGCTATCCCGCGTACATCATCCATGGATGGATTGAGCTCAAGGTATGGTGACCTTGAATTATCACTGTCTATCGCCATAGAATTAGGGCACTGCGATATTTCCTGATAACCCTGAGATATCAGATTACCCATTTTGCTTGGTAGATTACAAAAATTTAAGTGGAATTAGCAAGCATTTGTGTACAATTCCTCCCATGCGCTTCCATCACACGAAAGTATCCACGTGAAAGCAACTCATTTATTAAAAAAATAATAATAAATCACATGAGAATCCATCAATGAAAATTAATGGCTTCAGGAGCAGCAGGAACCCTCGGATTATGGTGATCCCCGTAATCTCCAGATATCATTGGCCAATGGAAATGTCATGAAGATACCATTAGCCAGCATCAATATCAGCGAGGAAGTCAATAAAAGTGGAATATGGAAGCAAGTTAACGATGGCAACTCAACCGATAAGAAACAACCGAAGATGATCAAGTACGACGAATGAATGAATATAAATATATTAGAATAATGTCATCAACATGAATCATCGCATCGTCGCTACTAGCATCATTTTATCGCTTAGCATACCATGACTTTTTTTAAAACCAAATACCTGCATTAAAATATCAATTATGTGCTTTAACTTTTTATCGTTCTGGTTGGAAAGTGTTGGAAAGCAGAAGAGACAATCGAAGAAAGACGGTAGTCCAGTCGATGAGACAACGCGTTTGACCACAATGACGGAGGAGGATGAGGATGATTGCGGTATTTCTATCAAGGTGACCAGCATCAATGACTCTGAATTGTAATCACGAAGAACTTGTGATTCCGTGTATTGGGTTTTTTTTTCTTTCGTTGAAGAATCATAGAAAATTATTATTTGGAAATACTATGAATTATGTATCACACATTTTGCAAACTGACCGAGAGCACCGGCATGACACATCCTTCATGTTTAATACGAACTTCAGTGAGTAAATTTCGTCATCCGAGTGACAACTGACATTATCAGCAATCATTAACACCATTATTCACCTTTTTCATGTTGATTCACCGTAATTTATTGTTAGAGAATATTGAGAACGAGCGCATGAATGCTGAGTTGTCGAATGTTTGCCGCATGGATTTAATGTTGCACAACCACTGAATCAAGCGCACAACATAATTAATAATCAACGGCCGTCGACCTGATGCTTCATTGAATCATCCAAATGAGCTGATCATCCTTTAGTTGGCTTATCTCCCTAGTGAAAATATTTTCAGACGTGTGAACGATTTATTTCATGAATAATATTGAATTGCAGGTAGATCTTATCCGCTCGAAGGAATCGACTGGATCTTTTAAACCCAATGGCACCACTTCTGCTGAAACTTCAGTTTGAAGAACA